TTCATTTGGTGCCACTGTATTCCATATACTGCTCGATTTGTTTCCCGTTTCTTCGTGGGCGGGTACTGCAGCAATTTCATGAGCATTTTGCAAGACATTTACTTTCTGTGAATAGGATAATTCATTGTTTGCACGTCCGTTTTCGGGATTAATAAGACTTGGACCGTGTACAGGGCATGTCTCTGAAACAGGTAGTACTGGGTTACTGGGCTGATCATGTATAACTGCTGCGCTTAAATTATTGCTTTGTGTGGATTCATTGAGGCTTTCGCCGGCATATTCATTAGTTCTGTAATCGTTTTCCAGCTCTGTACGCAATTTTGAAATTATTGCGTCAACTTCCGTTTCACCCCCAAAGCATGGGTGATTCAGCAGCTTCGCGTGTAATTTGTCAATGAAATCCAATTGACTCTTTCTGAAGCGCTGCTCTTGTCGCTGGATTAGCAACTGAAATTGGTCGGAAGTTAAGGCCATTTTTTTAAAATGTAAATAATAATAATAAATCCAAAAAAACACCGGCAATTATTATGGATTATTTAATTCCGAAATGACGTCAGCGGCTGCTGTATTTTTTTCCAGAATCCCCGTCGCCAATTGTTATGACTCGTATAACAATCGTTATTGTATATGAAACGTGCAATGATACAGAAAATACGTACGAGCAGTCTTGATTGCTATTCGGTCCTTCCTAACTGCCTAGCCCAGCCAGTTGAGTACAGAACACAAATAACAGCCTCGGAAATATGAATCATTATTCACAAGCACACTGGGTTATATATACTAACCAAACAGACCCAATTATACCAAAAAATAGAAAAATAACATTTGTACAGTAATTGGCCAATGTGGCTGTAGCTAGGGGGAAAGTAATCAATAATAATAGTTCCAAGGTCAAAACAAAGGTTGTGATAAGAGGAACACGGAAACGATTAGGTCACTTATTTAACAACTATCCAATAGGGAATGGGCATATTGTATTTGTCCATAAATAGACATCAGATTTAGGTTACTCATTTAACAACTATCCAATAGGAATAGGCGTATTACATTTGTCCATAAATGGACATCAGATTTATGATTCATAATTCGCCAGCGGATACAACAAAAACAACTGAACCTATGGGTTCTCACACACAAGTTACGCATTATCATGTCTTTGGGACGTGCTCGTTTCGCAGCTATGGAGAGTATTTTGCCAACTCATTTCCATTTTCGCGATTTTTTACCAATTTTTACCAGCTGTTCTCATAGCAAGAAGTAGTTTGACTTATTTGTTGTTTATTGTTTGAGTGAATCGTGCTTCTTTCAATCAAAACTCGAGCCAGTGAAGTGTTCTGTTTCTCAAGACAGAAATAACATCAGATTTTCTAACAAATGGAAGTTTTACTTATGATTTAGCAACACTCTGAGAGATGTTGATGAGCAAAATGTCTAATAGTTGTTCATTAAATCCCAGTTAAAGAAATTCTATGTTAAATTATCTTCAAACATAAATGGGTTTCTAGTATACCAGCATTTGCCACTATAACCATTATAAGTATCATCTTTTTTGACAAAACTAACTTTTTAGCAAGTGTTATAACGGTCAGAATATTTGATTAGCCTGACTAGGACGTAAATATATTTTTACACCCAAAACCGACACAATTCAACAAAAATCGATAATCAATAAGGATAAGGGAACATATAACTCATTTAACGCTTGTTAGACTATGTATAAGTCTGACTAAGCAGACAACCACACATTATTATTCTCTCCCAAACGTCAGTAAGTATATATACATATATTATCTGGGGGAAAATTGTGTGAGTAATAATTGACTTAGGTAACCTTCTGTATTCGCTTACTGAACATATGCAGCAACCATATATAACATCGCTGCAAGTGATAAATTAATTTGTTACATATTTCTCACAGGTATCATGATGTATATTTGTTTGAACAGTGTTGATGAACTAATTTAGAGTAATTGTCCCGTTCCGCATTAGTACACTGATCTGAGCTGCCATAACAACAAAACTAACCTCAAAGTTGCAGATTAATCAGGATACGGCAACTTAATCTATAAGATCTTACGTGGAAGTCACATTATTGTCTGTACTAATTCGTCATACCTGTTAATCAGCAACACAATGTTTAGTACTTCTGAAGAACACGCTGGATCTGTGGACATGAAAGGACATAATTTGCATAGTGATCGAGCCTGCATGGCCGAGCTATGCCATTTCAAATATGTTTTCGCGCGTTCCCACTATTTCGTTCGGGTAACCTGGTTCTATATTTATCCCCAGGGATAAATCTACGTAATCGAGGAGGAATAACAACGTGATCATTAAAACACCATCAGCAGTAGTGGATAACTTATCCCACTTTGAAAAATAGCATTCCAACCTTTCCGTATAGCTCTAAGCATACATCCAAAGTATCTTCGAGTTTCTCTAATGAGATCTGGATGTCTCACTGATAGAGGTTCCACTAACGAACAGTCTGAAGTATTGACAGGTCTTTATTCTAATGAATGCTGAGAAATGTGGTCAACGTCTTGAATTCGTTTGGTACTTCTGTGCTGAACCGTATAGTCACAGGCAACCAAGTTAGTGCTTCATCGTTGAACTACAGTAGCTGAGAAACGCGCTAATGATTTTTCAGGATAACGAATGAACTTTAAAAGCGCAGGATCAGTAACAATGGTGAATTTTCTTCAGAATGAATATTTATGACGGCTCAGAACACAGCTAATTCTTGTGAATAAACTTGTTCAGCAACAGTTTGTCCCGTACTACTTTATGGCAGTGAAACATGGCCCATAAGAGTAGAGGATATTCGTAGGCTACTAGTATTCGATCATAGGTGTCTTAGAAGCATAGCTCATATATCCTGGAACCACCAAATAAGTAGTGCAGTTGTTAGGGAACGGGTATTAAGTAGGGATGGCAAATCGATTGATGAAATGGTGAAGCTTCATCATTCGAGATGGTGGGGACATGTGTTATGTATGCCCAACCACCGGCTGACCCGACGTGCAATGTTTTATGGTGTAGGAGTAGGTTGGAAGAAAGTTAGGGGCGGCCAGACCAAGACGTGGCACAAATCCATGAAGTCACTGACAATTGGACTGAGCCATGTTGGTAGGTGTAGACTACCTGGTTGGGATCTGCGAGATGATAACCGATGGTTAGAGACCTTGAATGACATGGCTCAAAATCGTTTGCAATGGCGAAGGTGCATCCACTCTTTGTGTTCTGCCAAAGTCTAATCTTCTGAATTCTTCATGTTCCTTTCTTTTTTCTTTTTCCAAATTTATTTCACTGTACTATACTCCTTCAATAATTTCTTCAAACCCTAATCTTTTGGATTCCTGATTATACTCCTACTACTTCTACCACTATGGGATTTGAATCGACAACTGTATCTCTGTGGTAATGTGGTGTGGCAACTCGAACTGGTGTATGTACGTACGAAGTTCTACGTTGTGACTGATTGACTGACAGGTTTAATAAAATGTTTATTGAAAACGGTGTTGAACATGTTTGCTTTTCCTAAAGCCAATTCGACTATTGGGAATCAAAATTATCTTGTGAATTTTAAAATGTAAAGAATAAAAATATTACTTTATCTGAATGACATGCTTTTGCACAACTAGCTACCTGAAGTTGAACTTACGGTTTTGTTCGTCAACACTGAAGAATGTATCTATAGAACATTAGGGAACAGTAATCACTTTACATTTGTAAATATGTGTTCTTTTTTCTTTCGACTGTGCTTCTGTACCTCGTCTCTCATGATGTGAAAATAACCTTGCGCCGCGATGTCGTACAGTTTCGCAAGGTCTTTTTTGTTGACAGATCATGACAGGAACCGATCAGTCAATGTACCTGAAGCTCAAAAATATATATGTTACTTCGTATCCAGCCGTAAAACCTGCACTTCTGAAGTGCTCGTTTTCATGAAGTGTCAAGTAGCGTGAAATGAATGGCGACTTCGTATATCATGGTGCGCGATAAAATCTATCGCACATCTGTAATACCATCAAATTAATTCTGTTGACTTACAAATCTGTCCCTTCTTCCTTTCTGCTGAAGTCAAACATCCAACTTTCCTAGTTACTTTTCAGATGACAAAGGGAACTTTTGAATCGATAGTCCAAAATCGAATTGCCGCGGGTGTTCGCATCCAGCAGACTTCGAAAGTAGTTGCTTCATATTTGTACTCAAGTTAGAAATACTCGACGATATGTTCTGTAGCATAGTATGCAGTCTATCAAATCTGAAAAGCTTCACTTGATCGTACTTACTCGGCCGCTATTTTGCTGCCTTCACGCCTAGATCCGAACGTTGTTGGCGATGTATCTAATTGTGTCGAACTAGTTATTTCACATCTACAAATTAAAGAAACCTTCTTGGCAATGGCGAGGCAACACTGTCAAATAACCGGAATTTGGGATATTGAACGCGGCTATTTCCAGCTTACATCTCAGCCACATCCGTGTCAACAGAATCGTAAAGAAACCCTATTTTACGCTGTGATACGCCTCTACGAAATTTTAGTACAATTATTGTACTGACCTCTTCTGCTTCTTTATGTTTGGTAACAAGATGTTTTCGTCCGTCGAACTGTCTATACGGTAAACACTAAACTTTTTGAAGGAAAACAACAAACAATGGGCAGATTGGAGACTATCAATAGGAAATGATCGTTAGTAAGTTTGTAACTTACCGCATTCATGAGTAACTTTACACATCAGGACTGACCAATTGTCATCTGGCTGGTCACTGTTTTGAAGGCGAATATCAAACAGCTCCATTGTATAGGGACAAAGTTCCTTACCAATAATCCAGTGTTTAGTTGCTTCTTGCTTAGTGCGTCTATAATGACGTCTTGTTTGTTAGCGGGCTAAATATTACATGAGAGGAAATGAAACAAAATACATTTACATAAAAGCATGCAACAATGGAACAATAACTAAATAATGAACACAGTTTATGGCGAGATTATAATTTATGGACGAACCAGTCAGATTTACGACAACAAGTCTTAGGTTTCGGCGCGAAATCAATTTATTCATTTGGCATGAGCACCGAGTACTGAAATTGGCGCTGTGGCCTTGAAATCCCTCAAACTCCTGTGATTGGCTCGTTCATAAATTATGGTCTCCCCGCAGACGCATTAGGTAATCGCCGTCTGTTGCTGTAACTGTTTTTCCAGATACGAAGATAGATATCATAGCCCCCTTGATAGTAAAACATTATTGGACATTTTTGTTTTTAAGATTTGTTCATAGAATGAAAGGTTTTGTCTCTTCATTTTAGTAGTAGTATTGTAGTTTTTTCAAATCAAATTAGAAGACAAGCTATCTCTATAGATAGATATTTTGAATAATCTAGTTAGGTAATGGGCTTTAACTTTTCACCATAGTTGCTGCAGCGGTAGTATTCTCGTAATAAAATCGCTAAAATAGTTTTATAACCCATCATATCCCTTGGGGTAGGACTATCGAACGTTATTTTAAGCTTTTCGACAAAGTGCACGTAGTTGAGTGTAAACTTTGTCACCCTCCCACAGTGCCGTAACTGATCATTAAAAAAGTACACAAATTTTATTAGTCTGTTTTTGCTTAGTTTAATATTGGTAACTTTCTCTAACTGTAGCTAATCCAAACCCTTACAATTCTAGATTCGCCAGTAGTTTTCAAATTTATGGCATATAAAGTCACATAACCACTTCTAATAATCCCTCTTAAAAACGTACTACGTTACCGTTACAACATTCGGTTTTCTCGCCTACATGAATGAGACGCTAATTTACCTTAGCCAAATACCTACACTAGGTATCCCCTCAGTGCCTATTCTACAGGACTTCAACACAATTCAGATCAAAAACATATAACTAGCCTGAATAAAACATAAGTATGTTTCTACACTAAAAACCGGCAACAATCACAAAAATGATAAGGGTAGGAGAATATGTATCTCATCTATTACCTGTTAAACTATCTACTAGTCTGAGTAAACAAACAACTAATCATTATCTTCCTCCCCCACACATCGCTTACCTACCCTAAAGATTTTTATGATTGTATGTAATTTTTCCAATTAGTTTTCTTTTTACTATCACTTTACGGCATAAACTCTAAATACAATATTTTCTCCTTTTGAGCTAGGAGTCGTACCATTTTTACCATATTATGTCAACTGAGCTTGCCCTTGGTTTCGCTGTTGAGGGTGCACCCTGGCACTTGGTTTCCCATTTATTCCCAGATAAAGTTGGTGGGCGACCAGCTTGGCTAGCTCTTCAACACCTACCACCTCCTAGTGAACTAAAGTGTCCAGTATGTTTGAATCCAATGTGTTTTCTCTTACAGGTATTGTCAGCATCCTAACCACTTACACTGCCTAGATATACTCCCCTCTATCTGAAAAACCAGACTGTTTTCATCGGATGCTATTCCTATTTATGTGCCGAAATAGTGAATGTCATTATAAGCCTGATCATACACCATTCTATGTATTTCGTTCTCAGTTATCAAGGCAAAATTGCTATTACAGGTAGTTATGTAATTTATCGTAATCCATCTATTATTCCGAAGCTTCGAGCCTCCTGAGAACGAATTTCCCAGTCGCGAAATGATAAACTCGATGATAAAGGCTAACTCTATTCCATGGGCTGGTAAATATTCATCTATCTGCCCAATATGTGGATGCAAAGCAGACAAAACTTGTTCAAAGTGTAAAACCACTTCTTATTGTTCTAAAATGCACCAGGTACAACGGTTTTACTTATTTGATTAAACATATTTTCTCTTATTGAATTAGGTTCTAGACTGGAAACGACACAAGTTAGAATGTGGTTCAAAATGTCAAGATGTCATGTTATTATTCGAAGAAAATAGTTTCTTACTTCCTGAATACCGTTTATGTTCTGAACCTGCAGACAACTTTTCGAATGATGAAAGTACTTCGGAAGAGGTAGAAAGTGACACTGAAACTGTAGACCTGGGACTTCCAAAGTAAAGTAGTCGTAATGTGACTTCCTGTTATGTACAAACGTGGATGATAATTTATTCCGCTACTTTTATCGTTTTACTAAAATGTGACAGTTTTTACGTGACACTAACCTTTGTACTAGCTTGTTTAACAAATGTTTAAAGTTATTCGGGCGAAAATCTTGGACTCCATTTTTTTCGTGCTGACTTTTCAACTGTCTGAGCCGCTTAAGAAACTCATGCCATATTAGTTCCCAATGTTACTTAACCTCGGTTCATAGTTATTAATAATATTCTACTCTGTATACAAGAGACGTATTACATTATAAACCTTACCTACTCATTGCACTTATAGATGCTTAGTGTTAATACCTACCTGATGAAACTAAAGTAAGCTTTGTTAAAAACACTGACTTATTAGTTTCAAAGTAATTACCCTGATTTTAAAGTTACAGTCCCTAAAATAGTATGAAACATCCAGCAAATTAAGATTAGAACGTGGTAGATAGGTTTACATAGGAGAACTAAATTAGTGATTTGAGTAGTTAAAAGTTAGGTCCAGTATTATTAGTACAATTAATATTCTGTTAGCTAGTCTTTGATACTGACAAAGTTTACACTGTATACTCAAGAAATTTTAAGTTTAAGATGGTTCGATAGCACGGTACTTTGTTGCATTTATTAATTTTTGTTTGGAAGTCATCTGATGATGCACTGACGAACTTCTTCCAAAAAGTAATACTGGGTTGTAAAAATGTGGGAAGAAACAGGGCTAATGATAACAGTAACATGTAAGGACAAAACGAGTTTCTTAAAGATATGTCAGAAAAACTTTTTGATTTGTGTTTCATGATGTCCAGTTTTTCATGAAGTAATATTTACACAATAATCGCCATATTGTTTAAATTTGTCATTTACCTACATACTTTTAGGAATTTGTTGGTGACTAGGGAAAATGTGGAGAAACTTTAAATACATTGGTCAATAACTTTTTAGAACCAGAACTAAGTCGCACTACAAAGTTGTGATCCAATCGTTCAGTTATTCGTTTTTCGAATATTGTGTCATGAGTTTGAGTACCGTTTTAATTATTAAAACCTGATCAGTCTCATGCAATTTACCAAGCACTTCCCATATATGTTGGGCTTACATATCTAAATCAACTTAGCAGTAATCCTACACAATTGTAACTGTAGTCTTTTGTCCGTGCAATGATCAGATTTATCTATTTCATAGTATATCTATCATCAATTTTATTACTGTGATATTCTCTTCTAATAACACTTCCAGTCATTTTCAAGAAGAGACGACAGCTTTATTTTCTTGCCGCAAAAATGAAATTGCGGTTTATCATTTCTACCAAGACGAAGCACGCTAAATACTCAGATGATATGTAATAACGTGTTCATCTTATGCGTTATCGACGTTATCCTTCTGTTTCTGGTGTTAGTAAAAATCGTTTGTTTGTGTAATGTTAACTTTTTTCAGTGATCCTGAAGTTGAAGCGCTTGAATCTATAGCCAAGAAAGAGACTAAAGAAGAAGCCAGATTTAGAGTGTTTAAAGAAGCAATGAAATCGGCTCCTGACCAAGTAATCGCATATGTATATTCTCTGTTAATTTACCGTTAATTGATAAAACTTAACACTAATTTGTGATTCATGAAACCCCAGGTTATTTCTCATGATACTCTTTAAAATATTGAGTAAAATTCTAGACATTTTCGTTGTGGTTTAGTACATTTCGGTTCATTCCGAAAAAAACAGTGTTGAGGTTATCCCTACATTGAGATGTCTCAAGGTGTTGGTTGATGTGTAAATCGTTTTGCCTAAAAACTACGTTTTTATTAAATACATTACGTCACAACTGTTTGACATCGATACGTTAGGCGGAAATAAACCTTAAAATTAGGTTTTAACTTGTTGGAGGAGTGAGTAACCTACAATACTCATGTCCTCCAGTCGCTTATGTTAACTAATCATGCTTATTTTTGTATCTACTATTTATACATAATCGTGCTATTTCACTATGAAAAAGTCTGATTTAACTAGTGGTCTTCTCGTTAATCCAAGTCCCTCCTGGGGCTTGGGTTAATAATTTTCTCTTGTGAGCTGTTATCACTCGGTCACATCATAAATTACTCATCATTTGTCGATCAGCAATCTATCTATTCATTTTAAGGACTATTAACTCAGTAATAATCAAAAACCATATGATCCAAATCCATAATATAATCATCAAAATCTAAGTCGATTGAAAACATATCGAATGTGAATTCAAAGTATTAATGGTAAATGTAGTAACAAATTGGTGAGATTATGTCAGGCATCGATCCTGCAAACCTCCTTGCGCATTAAGGCACCAACCAAGGATCTTCTGGCGACTATGTTCTAGGCTATCCTCTTCAGGTGTTGCCAAGTGATATTCATGGTCTTGCTATCTGCATCCAGTTGCCGGGGCAATGTGTTATTTATTCTGTTTCTTCTCCTTTTGCCTTGAGGATTTTAAGTTACAGCTTACTATGTGGTACAGTCTGATGGCTTCTACATAGTGTGTCCTATCTACCGCTAGCATCTTACCTTAATTTCTTCCTCAACCGGAAGCTGCTTTCTTCTCTTCTACAGTAGTTTATTTCTGATGGTTTCTGGCCAATGGATCAAGATTATCTTGTATAGATAGCTGTTTACAAAAACCTATACAATTTTAGTGATGGTAATAATAGTTCTCCAAGTTTCAGCTCCGTGAAACAGAACGATTGTCTAACTGTGTCCGTGTCCACTGTATATCGTGCTTGAGATGTGAGAATTTTCATAATAAGGTTAACAACCAGAAGGAAGAGAAAAGGCGCAAGCAGGCAGTCTTGTTTGATACCATTCTTCAGTGAGAATACATTTATGGGCTTCGCCTGTTGCACGACTTTGCAATCTTGTCTTTCACAGGAGTTCCGTAAGATGTTGACGATCTTTTCAGATAATCCAGTGTCGAGGAAGATTCTACAGACTTTCCTTATTCAAACTATCAAACCCTTTCTGATGATCAAAGAAGTTGATTTGTGGTGATGAAATCCATTCGACTGGCTGTTAAAAAGTCATCCAAAATGTCGCGATCTGGTCGGTAAATGATCTATCCTGACGTCCGACTATGGTTGTATTTCTTGCACACATAAATATTTGTATGAGGGGGCACCAGATAAATATGTGTCACGCAAAACAATGAGAATGGGAAGAGAAAAGGGGTAAGGTGCATATAAGAAAAAAGAAAAAAAGAGCAATAACAACCACAGATTAGTGTATTTTAGTTTAATAATAAGAATAATAGTGGGAGAAACAGAAATGTACAACCAGAAGATCTCTTTCAGCTAAGGAAGTTATAACCACTCTTTATGAAGAAACTAAACGAAGGTTGCAGCAGGATCGCCACTGATTTCTATTCTGAGCCATATCTGATAACGTCTCTAGCCACTGTGTTGCACCATCCCTTTGCAGCTTTCTTTCATACCACGACACCACTTCATACATTGACCACCTCTTCGCTTTTTCCGACCAGTCCCAGAGTCGGCAAATAATGCAAGACGAGGAATTCTGTGGGCGACATTCGTAGAACATGTCCAAGCCAACAAAGTCGATGTTTCAAGATGATGAGACTACTTGAATTATCGTCTCTGCACCCGAACACACGATGCCAAACCTCAGCACTGCTAATATGGTGTTGATGCTGGATTTCAGCAATCCTTCGAAGACAACGATGATCAAACAGAGAGTCATCTAACATCCTAAACTCGGAGAGGCCTGGTTTCACGAGCATAGAGCAAAACTACTCTCACCGACGCGTTGTAGATCCGACCTTTTACATCCAGACTAGCATCACGAAGGCGCCAAAGATGGCCCAGATTGGCATAAGTCGCTCTGGCTTTCACTTTACGTGAATCGATCTCATCACTTACGCCAGCACCAGCACTTATGCAGCTACCTAGATACACGAACCTCTCAACTACTTCTATCTGCTCACCACCCAGGGTGAGTACAGGATTAGAATTCTGCCAGTGTTGTAGAAGTACTTTGCACTTCGAAGGTGGAAAGCACATACCGTACCTATGGACACTGATTGCTTATTGAATAAGTGCGGATTGCATGCCTTGGGCATTATCACACAGTAGGACAATATCATCCACATACTCAAGGTCGAGAAGTCTTTCTCCAGGCAACATATCCACACCACCATTGCTTACATCCATCAGAGCTGTTTGCAGGATGTCATCGATGGCAAAGTTGAAGAGGAATGGTGAGATTGGACAACCCTGTTCAACCGCACTGCTTGAATGGAACAATGAAGAAAGGTGGTTGTATGTCCTCACTCTGCCCGAGACATTTATATGTAGATCCTTTAAGATGTTGATAAACCTCTCATGCACACCCCTCTTCAATAGACAATCCCAGAGGACAGTCCTGTCCAACGAATCGAAGGCAACCCTGATATCAAGGAACCCTACGATTGTTGGCCTGTGATAAGTATGACTGTGTTCTAACATTTGGCGGAGAGTGAAGATATGATAAGATACATCCTCCACCAAAACAAAAACCAATCTGCTCCTCGCGAGTCAATCGTTCTCGGGTTTTGAACAGCCTACGAAGTATGACAGAAGTCAATAGTTTGGACGCAATCGAAGGTAGACTTATCCCCCGATAGTTGTTACAGAAACGACATGAACCCTTTTTAAATATAGGGACGACTATCGACTCATTCCATGATGTTGGAACACTTTCTAGCTCCCAGATCTTTGTAAACAACTCAGTCAACTCTTTAGCCAGAAAGTCACTACCATCTTAAAAAGAGCCGGAGGTAAGTCATCTGGGTCCGGTGATTTGTAGCGCTTTAAAAGTTGGGGTTCCTTGCGGACTTCCGCCTCATTTGGTGGGTCAGTCGTCACCGGCCATAGAGGGCAGGACAGTTCGATCGATGTTGCCGGGGCAGCAGGTCAGTTGAACTGCCCTTCAAAGAATTCCATCCATCGTCCAAGACGTCGACAGATGTTTGTGATTGGCATCCCGTCATCCTCACAGATTGTCTCACTCGCACCAGACTTCCTGCTACCAGTGTCTCGGATGAGTTGAAAGAGCTTCCGGCAGTTACCAGATGCAGCTGCTGCTTCCATCTCATTAGCACGCTCCGACCACCAGGCTTCTCGGTCCTTACGCAAGCTTTGCCCAATTTTATTCCGTAAGAGCCTTCGTTTATGGTCGAACTCACGGTCACCCGGAGTAGACTGACGGGCTTCGACCAGTTGTAAGGAGCCTGAAAAATCCCAGTGCTTATAAGCGGGAGGTTTCGCGAAGCCGCAAGCGGCTTTACTTGCCATTCTCATGGCGTCATGCAGTTGCAACCAATGCCCATCTATACTTTTCGGTGAGATTATAGCTAACCTAGAAGCTAGCTCGGTTCAATACTTACTTGCAACAGAAGTTGCAACCAATTTACTGACGTCAATTCGTTGGCCACCGAAAAGTAAGGTAAGATTGGCGCAGACCAGGACATGATCAGAGACCAGATAGGCATTGCAAAAGGAGTGGCAGTCTTGTACACAACCACGCCAGCGGTAGGTGATCTTTATGTGATCAATATGAGTACAGGCTTGAAATACAGCGTGAGGATGCCAGACGGCACATCGGCGATGACTGTGCCGGAAGGTAGTGCAAGCCAGAAACAGGTTGTGGTCTGTTCACAGTTGCAGTAGACGGTCCCCGTTATCTGTCTTGCGACCAACAAGTCCCAATCGGCCACCTAAATGACTTCTTTTGTGCTTAGACGCCCGACCTATGCATTCCAGTCTTCGGTTAGTACTACAATATCTGTCGAACGCGCTTTCTGGAGAAGAATAGTTCATTGGTGGTAGAGTTCATCCTTGATCGCATCCGGGCTGCAATATGTCGGGGCATAGTATACTTATTCGGTGCAAGCTTTCACTTTCGACCAAACAGTGACTAAAAATCGTTTAGATAGTACAGAGTTCCCACCATGGGGGAGCTGCTGCATATGTTGAAAAATTGGAGTACATAAATTGGGAATAGAGGAAGATAAGTGACGTAATATATATATGATAATACTAGTAATAATAATAAAAGTGAGTGTTACCAAGTGAATGAGAAATATCTGAGTTCCAATTCGAGCGAGCATAGTATTCCATGGAATAATGGTCATCTCAAAAGATTTGTGTGAGGGCTGCGGTACTGCCCGGGCCCCCAAATGCCCTGGTACGGCCGAGAGTGGGGAGAGTCCGCTCTCCCTCTCGAAATGCTCTCACATGGCCTCGCATATATAACTTCTGCCAGGAAGTCCTACCCACCGCCTTTTCGTGGCATTATTGTTGTTTGCGAAATTGAGAGGACGAAAAGCGAATGTCTGGCGCTTTAACCGGGTTGATGGACACGGAAAGTCCATCTAGGATAGTTGGATGCATGTATAAGAGTGGATGAAATTTATTGTAATCTTCCTTTGTTTTTAAGGTTGCTTTATTGACAGTGGAGTTTCATCAATGTAACCTCGTGTGTGCGGTTCATAATGGTCCTTCATGGCTATAATACGATCACAGCTCTCCCGAAGCTATTCTTTCTTGTCCACATTGTGTCAAATCGGTTTGATTAATTTCGTGCACGACCAGGTTATATCTCATTTCTGTGACTATTTGAATGGTCCTCCTTGTCTTGCGCATTATTCGGACATTTCATACGCATGTATTAATTGTCGCTCTGTTTTCCAGAATGGACATCGATCTTGTGGCTTCCGGAGACAGCTTTCACCCTGAGGCGTCATAAATCTTCTAAAAACCATCAACAGCTTCAAAGGGGCTCCATGTGGAGTTTGTTTTTAGACACAGTGTACTAGATGAAATGCAAAGATTTCTTTAAGTCGTCAGTTTGTGAATTTTAAGTTCCAATCCAGTTCAGTCTTCTTTGATGGGTGGTCTAAAAATATAATGGTAAGATGGCTTAAACCCTTAGACTAAAACACCACATTGGTTCAGGAAGTCAGGCAGTCACTCTAATCCACTTGCCGAGATGCTGACTTTGCAGTTAATATCTTTTGGGTGGTCGTAGTTAAAGATTACAGGTTTCAGCCAATCTCTGGAGTTGGTCGGTTTAATAATTCCTCATATTTCTTAAAGTTTATATTATATCATATATATATATATATATATATATATATATATATATATATATTATATATTATATTATTGTCCCACCATATTTATTCTTTAATCTTACTCATTTCTAATCGTTGTTATCTAACCTTCTCACTTCAGTCGGTATTGATATTTTTTTTACCTGTTTGAAGTGCGTTAACTCGTACCAGTATCAAGTCCTGTGTTGTTCATAGCTATCTACCATATATATTCCTTATTTGTTCTTGTTTTTATTTAGGTCATACGATTTCATAGAGGTGGTAAACCCATTTGGCTAAGTGACAATCCTGTAGAAGTTGAAAAATGTGAAGTTTGCAGTGCTGAACGTGTTTTCGAATTTCAGGTATGACTTTTAAAAGCATTTGAAGTTGATATCGTCCCATCTACGTTTTTAAAGTATTGTAGTTAATTTCAAACTAACCATATAGTTCTATGCATAAATTCAAGTCATATAACATTTTCCACCGTATCATTGTGTGACAATCGATAATATTATTAGAATTATTTATCCGAACAGTAATATATTTGATCACTATATGCCAATAAAATCAATGCTGTAATCCCAAGTATTAATGGAGTTCAATTACATAAGATTCGTGCAATATTCTTACTAAGCCAGTTAATACAGTATGATAGACTGTGTTGAGTGTATATCAGAGGTAGACATCGAACCTAATTCTCACAATTACTGGTAAGTTAGTTTAAGGAGCTAGTCGTCAACGCCAATAAATTTAATCTTTCAACTATTTTTGAACTGTGCATCACGTTTAAGCTTGGTATTTTTAAAGTTCCTCTTAACATGTACTGGGAAACAAATTTTTATAGGGTTCAAGAATGCTACTTTTTTAATGCTTTTTGTACCCTAATGACTCATACTCACGATTCAAATAAGTCACTTCTATTATTCGTAAAGCATTTTTACAAATCTCTGTTCATTGTCTGCACTTATATCTGGAGTATTCTGCAAATTCGTATAACTGTTTATTTGTTTGAGTTCTATCTGAGGTGTTACAAGCATGATCGGTCATTGCATAACGAGGACCACTGCATCATATGCAAATTTAGCCCATCATCTTTCACAAAGTTGTGACTTTAATGGGATTATAAATGTCTGTTTTACAACACATGTTTGCTTTGTACGAGTGATATGTAGTCTTTTCATGGTGTGTATTTTATCATTTCTGTGTTCATGGTACTACACACTTTTAATAACAATGCTATATAACAAGTATTCCGAGACGACAGAAATGATAACCGAACCTGTAGAAAGTAACTTCCTACAGACGTAGTTCTAAACTAATTCCTAGACTGTTGAGCACGGAGTCTTAGCCTAGCCAAAGTCAGACTATGTAAGCTATTTGGGTTGGTAAACTTTATCTGTTCCTAAAACGTAAATTAACACCGTTAGCATACAAAAACAATTAATCCAGCCTATCAAACAAGGAAAAAGAGCGACGTAAATAACACCGAACAGTAATTAAAGCATAGGAAAAACGAGTCAACGTAACTAATTTCTTTTATAACAAACATGGAAGATTATGATTAGTGAATGAATATGTGATTGTCATACGAAGTCAATGTGGTGGTGGGTGTTAAATACTGTCATTGGTGGGTTCATTCATCGATCACATCTTACAAAACCTGCAAATCTGTTTTCAATCATGGTGTTTAGCGGTTGCTGTCTTATGAACAATTGATCTTGACTTCGCGCATTATTTGTAAAATTTGGTTGCTGGTCCGTAGCATTGCATTTTATTAAAATAGACGATTTTGGTCTTTTAGAGTGTTACAGCCTCTTTAATGAAGTTCAAATTATCAAGCTCACAATTGGTTATATATATATATATATATATATATATATATATATATATATATATATATATATATATATATATCGGATAGCTAAAAATGCTATTAAAAAATTATTAAATGCACCTATTTTATACAACTGTTTCTCGAAACTTTTAAGTCACTCATTCACCCATTCCATTCAATTTTTCTCATTCTCAATCTTATTAAGCTATTTTGTTTTGTTTATCTTTTACGTGGTTTCGTTTACTCCATAAAGTTTATATTTTGGTAATATTGTGGTTAAAAACATGGGAAAGTCCTTTTTAAAACACTTTTGTCTTACTTTCGCAGGTTACTCCTCAAATCTTGTGTTACTTAAAATTGGATAAAGTTGGTGAATTAAATCCAGATTTCGGTTCGCTTTACATTTTTACTTGTTCTAATTCATGTGAACTTCCTAGAAGAAATGATAATACTATTATTGAATATCAACGTGAAATTGTCATTCGTCAAATGGTCCCCTAAACGATTAACAATTATTCTTATGTGAAGGGCTAGAGGGCTTGACTTTAAAATAAAATTTGATCCGAGTACAGCTTCGATCATATATTGATATAGAATTGTGTAAATCAGTACCACTTTAATTCTTTACTTTACTTTACAACTATCAGTTATTATAAAACCATATAAAGTTCTCTCTCACTATTCTGTTAAACGTTAAAACGCATCTGTTTTCGTTGTTATTTATTGTTAATCTGTTGATTTAATCTTTGTAAAAAATATTTAGAATTTTATTGCTACCACTAAACTGATCGACAACGGTACTAAATTTTGAATGCGGAAACGATAATCCCTGTCTGTTCATATTAACTTGTAATGTCTACACCATTGATATGTCTGTATCGATGGCGTAAGGAGATAATTATTATCGACAAAGTGCATTTATGCTCTATTTATTTAGAATTATTCTTTGAAAGTGATGCGGTTATATGTAACTTTCGATTAATGCCACCTAGAAGACTTCTTTTCACATTGTTACATCAAAAGTTATCTAAATAATATAAAATATCAACGTCTAAATATATTTTCAATAATTTACAAATTTTCTGAGTTACCAAAACAGGGAGCTCGGAAAAATCAATACTAGAGAGCAATTAAAAGTAATGAAAACCGGACATTAAACGAAAATACCGGTATCATTTTAAAGTGTACAACATGCTTTAGCAGGGTAATTAGCCACATTCCTTAATAAACACAACCGCGTTGGGTGAATAAAGTCAATTAGCATTCAGTTTCGTTTTGGCTTGTTGAAACAACAAAAATTATCAATCTATCGAACTATTAAGATGTGGCTAATTAATGGTTGTTTGTAAATTTCCAGTAATTAGTATGACGAGACTCAATAAATCAATGATTAAGTTACATTGAGTACATTGTTTTCTTGTATACAATATAGAATAAATGTAATCAGAAGATAATTTGTATGAAAAACATGGTGGGAGAGAAAACAATAGATTATCAGGTAAATATAATATTAAAAGTTAATTAGTTTTCTGTATAGTCCCTGACTGTTGTTGGATGCTATATTAACAGTCAACGTTCTGTTTATCAAGCGCTGAACTTTATCATCGAAATTATTGTTCTCTATCAATAGTCGTTTGAGACTGGATGACATGTCTTAGAGTCGTCCAAAATGACACAAGTGTATTCACTTTTGATTTTCAAACCTAGTACTTCTTCATTCATACACTTTCATGTTTCTGCTTCGAAAGATATTCACAGTGTTCGCTCTTTCGCATTATTCTTGTTGCTTCATCATTTCAAACTCTTGCTATTCATTTTGTTGTTTTCATCTCGTGCCGATGTGGTGTGTTAACTTGGATCAACGCATACTAGTCCCAAACTCTACTGATCTCTAGCCAGATTTTAAACTTTTGAAATTAACCAGCTACTAATTGATTCGTGTTACAGAGATGAATCGACGACAGGAGCTAAACAAATGCAATACTAGATTACAAGATTTAGCGTTCAGTGGTAAGTGGATTCGGGTTTAGCACTTGGGTAACTCGTCAGCGAAATATGGATAAAACCTCAGTACGATTGGCTGTGGTAATCCACTCGGGTAAAGAGCGAGAGAGTTCGAAAAAAAAGAGAAAACTTGATCCAACCATTCAGAAAGTAAACAAAACGATTTTGTATTCTATGACGACAATAATCGATCACAATTAACAATCCAGAAATATAGATCCAACACAGTCTGCTATTCCAAAGTGGATACATCATAAACCAACCTCATTGTGATTTATTGAATAAGGCGGAATGACATAAAACAATATGGAAATCGAAAGAATGCCAGATGCTTGATTCGCTCCATTCTTTCTCATGATAATTTTAAATTGGCAAATCCAAATATATTTAAATGCCATGGACCTGCATACTGGATTTCTTCGCAGTTCTCAAAACATCAGTATCACTTTTCCTAACCTCCTTGCATATCTGAAGTAATACAGTATGTAGTGGCTTTGCTTCATTAATCGATCACCTCAATAACCGTTATAACATAAATCTCAACGGTGTTTGAAATCAATCAGAAGACCGTGAGAGGCGGCAACTACAGTTTATTAGCGGATAGCGAAGATCACAAAGTTATAAGCACATCAAGCAAAGAGACGAATAAGTGTATGTGTGAGCAAACACATTTGCAAATTTATAGTCACATTGCATAAGGGCACAGCAAGACAAAGCAAAAACTAATAATAGGATCTGAGTACACATATACGTGGGGAGGTAGATGATCATCGAGTGATGTTTAAGCAATCAACATTTTAGGTAGAGTTTGTCATGTAATCCAGTGATCATAACGGTACAAAGAAATATGCATGTTGTTACTGTTCAAATAACACTGTCTGTTAAGTAAGTGAATAGAAGCGCTTAAGCATAATCGAAATTGATTGTAGGACAGTTGTTATAATTACATTCGTTTTGTAAACCATTTGGAGCGGAAAGTTATATTTTTCTGATATTGAAATATCAAGTTGTAGTCGTAATATCGTCTTTAGCTCGTAAAATTCCCACGAATGCACGTAAATTGGGGAGATCATTGTATTCTTAGGCTTATGGATTTCTGAAAGGCATAAGAAATAATAATCCCATTAAGAAGTTCCTAAAATTGGCCGTTCCTATACTAATTTAGAAATATATTTACTGGTGAGATTATTAGAATAAGTACATATTTTGTTAATAAAAAGGACTTATTAGTCCTGGTAGGTTTCGATACACATTTATGATTAAACTTTTAGAAAGTCTTTAGATCTCACCATTCACACTTCATTGTTTTTACAGTTCTCATCAGTAACATTATGGCAAAAGATTATTCCGTGAGGTGGATTGATGGTCAAGCGATTTGATATTAAAGCAATAAATTACAGCTTCGTTCCCTACTCCGAACAATTTTACTCAGGGGGGCGGATGAATGGCGGTCTTGAATTTAGGGAATCGAATGCATCCATAGTTATTACGTCATCGTATGCTGTCTTACGATCGGTGCAAATATTTCAAGGCTTAAATTAACTACTTGCAAGTAGTAGAAATGTCTAAAGAAAATAACTCGGTTGCTTGAACATTTCTGTGATAATCTAAGTTGCTATTCATGATTGAAAGACAGCTGAATTCTTGATTAGATTTAAAGATCCATAACTATGCCGAGACTTCGTTTCATTTACCTGATAGAAATTCGATGAATAAGTTGATATTATAAATGTTATGTCCTAGTGAAGACATAAGTACGGGTAACTTCCGGGATCTATTAATGGACTAATTATATATATACCTATTGGATGGCTGTTCAGTAACTAGATTATGTATGTCTATATTCCTCTTATCATAAGCTTCATTTTGATCTATAAAGTATTATAAGAATTACTGTTCCTAAATTATATTAAGTTTATTGATTACTGTCTCCCACGTTCACAGCCACATTTGGCTTGATCTTGTACAAATATTGTTTTCTATTTTATGGTGGGATGCGGTCTGTCTGTCTTGTATATAAACCAAGTCTGCTTGATATAAATGATTCGCATAGCAGAAGCTGTAATTTGTGTTCTGGACTCAACAGAAATGGTCAGTCGGATAAAGGACACTAGGCTGGTCATACTGTTCGAACGTCATTGATTTGGCACAGTGCTAAGATTGGGAAAGTAGTATTTCGGTTGGTGAATAAATCACTTGATAAAAAGCCGAACATAAAATCACACCAAATTGGAGACAGCCTTTTTTAAAAATTCATAACAAATTGGAGACGTGGATTCGGCAAAAAATATACGACTTTTGGTGACGTGATTTTGGAAATGAATAAGCTATAATAATTGCCAGTGATTTTTCAGAGTCAATATTATTATTAACAGAAAAAAAGAATGGCAATTTTTTTAGAACAGTTGCAGTTATTGGTACGGCAGCAGCAGATGTTAGCTCTTTAACAGCAACTGATTAAAGCAGTTTTGGGAAAACTTTCCATTCAACCAGAGATTCCAGAAAATAAAGATTCTGTTTATGATGCAATGGTTCGGTAATGGCTATTTCAAAAGCATGCGCAGTTGAGGGTTCAAGTCCCTTCATATCTGATGCAAAATGTAAAATTGATAAATTGTCCGACTCACAGCAAGACAATATCTTGCTAAATGCACAAGAAGTGACAGTATCAGATGACCGAGAAAAATAGGATCCTTTAAATGAAGCCCTGAGTCCAGAATTAAATGAAGTGCTATTGATCCCGCCTAACGCCGCAAATAAACTTCAGCCACAACAACATTATAGTTCACACGATATTGGTCGAGAAAGCTGTCGGGACTCTTATCCAGAAAATAACTGAAACAGTACGGTGAACCCAACTGTGCCAAATGTAACTCAAATTCATTGGGAAACAAGCTTATGAACCAACCTGTCCGATTTCTCGTATCCTTTCACTAGATGTTATTTCTCATATTAACCGACCCAACATCGAAGCAGCACCGTTGGACCTCCCAATCGATGTTGGCCAGCCAACAATTGAAGAGATCAACATGGTCATCAGGCAAATCAAGAGCGGCAAAGCAGCAGGATCCAGACAACATTCCACCAGATGCTCTGAAAGCAGACGTGTCAGTAACTGCAAAGATACTTCAACAAGATTTGGGATGAAGAACAAGTACCAATAGACTGGAAAGAAGGAAACCTGATAAAAATACCGAAGAAAGGCAATCTAAGCATGTGTGATAACTACAGGAGCATTACTCCTCGCTTAACACCACTAAGCGTCTTCAATAGGGTGTTGTTAAACAGAATGAAGGACTCTGTAGACACCCAACTTCGAGACCAACAGGCCAGATTCCGTAAGGATCGATCGTGTACAGACCAAATCGCAACTCTACGGATCATTGTAGGACAATCAACTTCATTGACTACGAGAAAGCATTTGATAGCGTAGACAGGACAACAGTATGGGGGCTTCTTCGACACTACGGCGTTCCTGAGAAGATGGTCAATATCATACGGAACTCCTATGATAGATTAAACTGCCAAATCGTGCATAGAGGACAACTCATTGACTCGTTTGAGGTAAAGACCGGTGTCAGGCAAGGTTGCTTACTCTCACCCTTTCTCTTTCTCCTGGTGATCGACGGGATCATGAAGACGTCAACATCTGGAGGGAAGCACGGGATACAGTGGACGGCTAGGATGCGGCTGGACGATCTAGGCTTCGCAGATGATTTGGCTCTTCTATCACACACGCAACAACAAATGCAGGAGGAGACGACCAGTGTAGCAGCAGCCTCAACAGCAGTAGGTCTCAATGAACACAAAGGGACAAGCAAGACTCTCCGATACAATAGAACATGCACTAATCGAATTACAACTGACGCACATGCTTTGGGGGATGTAAAAACCTCTACATATCTGGCCAGCATCATCGATGAATACGGTGAATCTGATGAAGATGTGAGGGCACGGATCGGAAAGGCAAGAGCAGCATATTTACAACTGAAGAACATTTAGAACTCAAAACATCTGTCAACCAACACCAAGATCAGAATTTTCAATACAAATGTCATGACAGTTTTAATGTATGGGGCGGAAACCTGGAAAACTACGGAAGCCATCATCCAGAAGATACAGATGTTGATTAAGAGTTGTCTACGCAAGATACTTCGGACCCGTTGGCCAGATACTATCAGCAACATTTTATAGTGGGAGAGAACAAACCAGATTTCAGTGGAGGAAGAAATTAGGAAGAAGCGCTGGATAGGACACACATTGAGGAAGACAGCCAACTGCGTCACAATGCAAGCTATCACATGGAGTCCTGAAGGCCAAAGGAGAAGAGGAAGACCAAAGAACACATCACGCAGAGAAATGGAGATAGACATGAGAAGAATGAACAAAAATTAGATAGAACTAGAAAGGAAGGCCAAGTACAGAGTGGATTGGAGAATGCTGGTCTGCGGCGTATGCTCCGTTGGGAGTAACAGGCGTAAGTAAGTAAGGTTTCTCATATTATTAAATTTCACCAATAATTATTTCCAAAATATTAGAACGTCTTGTCTTTATAAACTTATACTTTCGTCAACCTTTTGTCCAGTTGGTTGTAATGACTCGCTGTTAATTTTGTTATCTCCTTATGCCCTGTTTATGTATCACGTGAGTAAATCGCCAATTAGGACATTAACTTATACGACTGGGGCATTGTGCCAAACCAATCCTGTGTTAACCAGGAAGAGCAGCCTAAAGTGAATTCTGAGTTCTTATTGATTCTTCTCTCCTAGCCTTGTCCTTTTAAGTTCAGGACACAATCTCAGCTTTCCCTGTATGTGAATCGTTTGTTTCAGACATACGAAGTTTATATACTAGCAAATCAGACCGCATCA